GGCGAGTTCAGGTCTGTAGCTCGGGAGTTATGGGTCACCAATTCAGCTAGACCCTGTTTGTGTCTCCACGTGATTCTCAGGGCCTAGCTGCACCACTCAGTGGTACTCACCGAATGAATAACATCTGAATGAATCTGCTGCTAAAACATGGAGCCATACACCGTCATATGGTATGTCTTTTGTGAATGTGGTGAGTAGTGGCCAGAGGCCCCTTGGGTCACTGCACTTGTTCAGAAGAAGACAAAAAGGAAAAAACGAGAGAGCTACAGGCATCTTCACCGCCACTGTACGTATTCAGAAGAAAACAAAAAGAAAAAACGAGAGAGCTACGGGCATCTTATTCCTAACCCATAACTGCTGACATGCAGACCTGAACGCCAAACTTCAGCATATATTGGTGGTCGGCTGGACTCAGCAAACATTACATGTGCCATCTGCTAGACAGCGTGATCACGGCAATACTGGGCAATTATACCCTTCTTGCGAATTTGTCCATCTCTGTGTGGGATTTGCACAAGGAAAGGGGAAAGCCCAGTTATCATTCCCCACCCAAAAAGGAAAACCTAGAGGCTCATTGCATAATCAGCAATTTTGAAATTTGTGGGGTAGCACCCTGCAGAATTCAGAATTCGGCAACCCTTGCGCAAAAAAATTTTTTTGGCCCAAGCGGGCGCGGACATTTTCCGAACTCGTGCGGTGAGTTGGACAATTTTTCCAGGGAGGGTGCCATAGGAAATTACGGAACCCCTATTTATTTATTTTTTCTACCTTAATTTTTCTGGTGCACTGCGCGTGCGCAAGTCCGCGCACCGAGGTGCGCCGCAACTACGGTAAAGACTAAATTTACTAACTTGAATAATTATTTCAGTGCGAAGAATTTTCTAGAGAGCGTATGACGTCGGACAGATCCGGTTCTTCCCGGCGAAACCTGAAATCCATATACTGATCTGCATCTGGTCCTGTTTTCGACTTACCGCTCTAGTTTGCCATTGACATACAGCGACCTTTTATTCCGTCCTCTTTTTCGGGCGGGCGGGAGGGGGGGGGAATAACGACCTTTTATTCCGTCCTCTTTTTCGGGCCGGCGGGAGGGGGGGGGGAATAACGATATGTATCTGGCCACATTTCTGACTCACCCCTCTGATTTTGGACCTTCCCCATCTCCTTTCAACTTAAAAAAAAAAAAAAAAAAAAAAGTTCCGCTTAATCACAGCAAATCAGCAACAAAAAAAGAAGCACAAAAAAATTGCTTGACAGCGCTTTTTTTTTTTTTTTTTTTTTTGACAGCCTTACTCCTTCCCGGAGACCGAGAAGTACTTCTCGAGTCCTCTTCCAAATTCCCAATGAACAGCTGGTTCAGAGCATTTAGTCATATATTCGCATAATGCTCGCACTAGGATTTATAATGACATTACTCCGGCTAAAAATTATGGCCCTATTCATTCGCGGAAGTCGTGCTACAGTCTTCCACCGAACAAAACGCACGTGTACTATTCAACTCTCCGTGAAAAAAGTCGATTTCTCGAAGTCGCCCCCTGAAATCCAAATAGTGCGCACGTTGAAATAGTAGGCACGTATGTTCTATTCAAATAGTATGCACGTTTGTTCATTTTCAACAGACGGATGTTCTATTCAAATAGAACACATGCTTGCCTGCCTGCAGTGTCGCACTCGTTTCCAGGTGCGTTCCCTGGAGTATTCCTCTCTCTCTCTCTCTCTCTCTCTCTCTCTCTCTCTCTCTCTCTCTCTCTCTCTCTCTCTCAACAAGAATCCCAGGCCCCTCACAACACCGACCAGAGGGGGGGGGGGGAAGGGGGGAGGGGAGGGCAAGCCAACCATCTCAGTTGGCGAACTCCAGCACGCCGCAGGCGGCCGTGGGGAACTGAACCCTCGACCTCCTGAATGCGACTTGCATGCAAAGCCAACTGAGCGTGGCCGCTGGCCCTGTTCCAGTTTTTTCAGGATTTATCATGAGACGACTCTGGCCTATATTGTGGCCCTATTCATTCGGGAAAGTACTACTAGTGTGAATAGACGACCCTCAGGCAGCAGAACCTGAAAATAACTCCTTGCTTGCTGTTCCAAGGGGCAGGTACAGCACCACTATCTTCTTCGTGGAAACAGCCGCTTGACCCGGAGGCCAGCCAGCGCTGGGTCCACTACATAAATGACCGGAGCGTTGTCAGACTGCCGCAGAAGGGGATGCAAGGTACAGGCGGTCCGAAAACTACAACCTGTTTCATTTTTCCAAGGCACACCACAGCTGGAAAGAGAAAATAAGGAAAGTGGGCAGAAGCTGGACGTTTGAAAGCACAAAAAAAGCATGGATGAGCGAGGCATGCACTGCACAGTTCTTTTTCAACTTTTTGAATATTTTCCAGATCGATTAATTTAATTTAATCGGAAAAGTGGCGAGCAAGCAAGTGGCTGCACTAAAGTCCAGTTTGACTTCTCTTTTGATTCCCAAAAAGACATCATGGTACTTCAACTTTCTGCTTGAACGGAAAGTCAAACTTGAAGTTGGACTTCAAGTTAAACTTCAAGTTTGACTTCCCCTTTGAGCTCGACTTTCCGTTCGACATTCAGTTCGACATTCAGTTCGACGTCTTGTTCGATGTTCAGGTCGACACTCAGTTCGACGTTCCACATTTTGTTTGAAAGTTCAGCTTGATGTTTGGTTTCGGCATTCAGCTCGATGTTTAGTTCGACATTCAGTTCGACATTTCGTCCAGCGTTCAGTTGTAGATGTTCAGTTCAGCTTTCAGTTCGGCTTTCAGTTCGGCTTTCAGTTCGGCTTTCAGTTCGGCTTTCAGTTCGGCTTTCAGTTCGGCTTTCAGTTTGATGTTTGCTTCAACAAAGCTTTGAAGTTTAACGTTCAGTTGGCCGCTTAGTTCGGCGTCCAGTTTGACGTTCAGTTGCAGGTTCAGTTTGAATGGGCAGATTATTTTCCAGTTTGGCTTCCAGTTTGACTTCCAGTTTGACTGCAGTTTGATTTCCAGTTTGACTTCCAGTTTGACTTCCAGTTTGACCTCCAGTTTCACATTAGTTCCATTCATTTCCAAGTTCAGTTGGACTTGATTTTCAGTGTGACTTTCAGTTGATTTTCAGTTTGAATTTCAGTTGTTTTCAGTTTGACTTCCAGTTGAACTTTCACTTCGACTTTCAGTTGAACATGCAGTTGAACTTTCAGTTTGACTTTTGCTAGTTTGACTCTCGGTTTGACTTACAGTCCGACTTTCAGTTCAGTTGGGGATGCAGTTGTACTCTCAGTTTGACTTTTGTCAGTTCGACTTTCCGTTTGCCTTCTGTCAGTTTGACTTTCAGTTTGACTTTCAGTTTGACTTTCAGTTTGACTTTCAGTTGGAACTTTCAGTTTGACTTTCAGTTGGAACTTTCAGTTTGACTTTCAAATCAACTTCGGTCACGGTTGCAGTGCACCAGTGGTTAAGGTATTCTGGCTGCTTGGCCCCAGATCAGGGGTTCGATTCCTTGCAGGGTCAGTGCAACTTGTTATCCAAGTATGGTGCAAAAAACCAAAAACTTTCGGTTTGAATTTGGGGGGTGGTTGGGGGGGGGGGTTGACACTCACTGCTTCTCTGTCAACTCAAAGCATTGACCCTGCAGCACTGCAAATGCGCCATCCGGCCCTGCAAACAGACACAGGCAGACAGGCAGGCAGGCAACGAGCGTAAAAAAAACAGACAGTTGGATGCCAACTACTGTCTTCACCAGAATAGAACGAGCAGTCATTATTACTGTATCTAGACAAAGTTGCACGAAATACAGCTAAAATGACGGGGGGTTCTACTAGGGTGAAGACGGTAGCGATCACCTAATAAGCAAGAGCTACTCTCGAGTCTCGACTGATACACATAATCACCTGAGTTGGGTATAACAACATGACTGGCAGGACTGTTGGACAACTTAAGTATAAGGCTAGCAGTCTAGTTGATTCCTATGGTGCATGTGTGCATCTGCATTCTATAATTTCTATAAACAGAACCAAGAGGAGGGTATTCACTCAATCTTTGTCTCTGAGAAAGGGGAGGCGGTTAAATCACCCCTAGAGATAGAAGCTGTCGTTGCTAAGTACCCTCTGATGATCTGTTTGAGGAGCCTTCAGGAGTCGTAGACAGGTAGTAAAACACCAAAAGGGAGGATCTATAGGATGGCTCCGGCAGAGTTGGACGAGCTTCGTCGGCAACAGAAAAGAGCTCCCAAAGAAAGGTTGGATTCGGTGTACGGTAGTACTTCCCCCTTCGGCTCACCAGTTCTATTCGTTATGAAGAAGGCGGGGTCACTAAGGATGTGCATTGTGCATTGATTCTAGAGACCTCAATGTGCCATCACTGTTAAGAACGCAGAGCCTCTACCTCGCATCGACGAAATATTGGAGAGGGTGCAGGGATGTAAATACTTCACAAAGATAGACCTAAATCCGGCTACCATTAGATTGCCATTACAACAGAGGACCAGCACAAAACCTCATTTCAGACCAGGTACGGTCTGTACGAGTTTGTGGTGATGCCCTTTGGCCTTTGCAATGCGCCAGGTGTGTTCCGGCATATGCCATGAACAGGATGTTTCATGACTACTTTGGATAAGTTTATCGCCGTGTACCTCAACGATATTCTTATCTTTAGTAGAACAGTTGAGTAGCATACCCAAGTGGCTCGCATACGTGACTGACCACTCCTACGACAACGATATTCTTGTAGAAACTGCACTTTCACTCCTACAACAACACAAAGTATAATTAGCTTAGAGAAATGCGAGTTCGGTCACACTAAAATCTTGTACATGGGTCATGAGATATCTGCGGAAGGGATTAGGCCTCGAGATGCAAAAGTGGCTAGCATACGTGACTAACCATGACCTCAGTCTGTGACCGAGGTCAGATCTTTCTTAGGGATGACAGGCTACTACCTCAACTTCGTGAGAAAACTATAGAACGGTGGCCGGCCGCCCCTTTGACTGATCTAACACACCTTGACACACCATGGGAATGGACAGACGAATGTGAGGAAGCCTTCAAACGGTTGAAGTACGCTCTCATGCATCATTATGCGGTTCTCATGGTACCCGCTCCGGAGAGGCCATTCGTTGTGACCACTGACACAAGCCAATATGGCAGAGGCGCAGTGTTGGCTCAACAGGAAGGGAAGAAGTTGAGGCCGATCGAGCACATGAGTAAGAAGATGCCATCAAAGAAGTTGGCGAAGTCCACCTATGAGAGGGAACGCTACGCCCTTTACAAAGCCCTTGTTCACTGGAGGCATTATCTGCTTGGTAGGTTCTTCTATTTAAACCACTAGTACCTCCGTTAGTGTTGGGGAAATAGTACGGAAAAGTGTATGTTTTCCTAAACTCCTAAAATTTCGGCGGCCGGACCCAACGACAGTTGCTATTGATAAATCTGATCGGCAGCCGTCGTTTTGTTTCGGCCCACCCGAGGCCCGCTATTTTCCCACACGGCAAAGGTAGTCGTAGTTTAAGAACCGACCATCAGACACTTAAGTGGATCAAGATGCAACCTGTTCTCTCCGATGCACTCAAACGCTGGATTGAAGTCATAGATCAATATGATTTCAAGCCAGACTGTGTGAATGGAGAGTACAACAAGATTGCTGATGCGCTGTCGCGTAGGGCAGACTACCTACGTGTGCTAATTACTGAGTTTGGCTGATCTGATGAAGTCACTCGATCGATGGTGGATGCCTATACAAGGAAGATCCCGTCAAAATTGATATCATACACAGACTAGAGGCCAAAGACAAGGTCGCATCAGATGAATTTGTGATGGTGGATGGGCTACTCTTTCTTGAAAAGGCAGGGTTCAAAAGGTTGTGTTTCATCTAGCGAGATTCTGCGTAGTTTATTTTTTAGGTGAGTGGCATGACTTCAGCTACAAGAAGACTAGTGTTAATTTAGCGCAGCGTTTCTGGTGCCCTAGTACGCTTGACGATGCAAAGAAGTGCGTTCAGACTTGTCCAGTCTGCCAGCGGGATAAGCCACGTACTCAAGCCCCACTTGGGTTATTGAAGCCCTTGCCCATTCCTGCTGGTCCGGGACGGAGTGTCTCCATGGACTTCATGGATACTCTCGTGAACAGCAAGAGTGGCAAACAGCACATATTCATCATAGTAGACAGGTTCACTAAGTACGCTAGACGACTCCCTATCCCAGAGACTGCCAAGACTGAGCACATCATCAAGTTAATTATGGATAACTGGGTGTGTGACTTTGGACTGCCCAAAACCATCGTTAGTGACCATAACTACGATACGGACCCCTGGAAAGGAATTCAGAGAGTCCAGGGTCCGACATCTGGTACCAGTTCCCGGTAAACGGTCCGGATGGCGGTCCCATAACTTTTTTGGCCCTTCGCCACCCTCCGGAAGGAGCCCAAAATGAAATGTGTTCCGCGACTTATGGCTCCAGGTGCAGTTGGTTGGTGGGCTGTTTTGTTTTGTGTTTGGAGAACGAATCTTCTGCCGCGGCGCTTTATTCCCATTTGCGCTGTTCATAGCAGCCCTTTTCAGCGTGTTTGAGACTGGCACACCACTCATGTCCGAATACAAGTTCATAGCTGCGCGCTTTAGCATGTTCGGATTCAATGCACACAACACATAAAAGATATGGAGACTTACCTGTTCTCTGTCCCTCTCTCTGTGTCTCTCCCTCTCTCTCTCTGACACAAACACACAAAAAAAAAAAAAAAAAAAAAAAAGTGGCAGTAAAAAAAAAAAAAAAAAAAGTAGAAGAAGATGAATCCT